TGCAAAGACGCTAATTTTTTCACTAATTTTGGTGAAACTGGATCATATTCGATGGAGAAATATTAGAAATATGGAGAAAATATATTCTAGTTTTCTCTCTGATGTCCTCCGGCAGGCAACGAAACCACACTCTACAGCTTCCAGTGAACACAGCATGAACAGGGCCGAAGACAGTCTCAAAGACCAACAGGGAATCCAGAACTGACATGATTTACACAGAGCTTCTTGATGGATATAGTTAGCTTTACTTTTTGCTAACCCTCTAACTGTAGCCTATCTGCCTGTATCTGTGGCCGGTTAGCTCAGTTGGTTAGCCGTGCTGCTAGCGGTTCTATAAGTTTACTCAGTCCTGGGGTGCCAAGAGCCAAACCAGGCAAAAAAAAACACCTTGGTACTGTATTCCCAGTGGTCAAACTGGCCTTTGTCAGACTCAGAGGCTGTGCTTGGTCCCGGTCGAGCTGCCGTGTTCACTCACTGAGAGCTGGAACCAGTACGCACAGAGTATGCATGACGGGGTGGGTAGGCGTGAGGTTAACACATATTCAGCGCTACTGTTGACTGTAAATGCCAATCAATAACTGCAATATGTCCCTCCCCAGCTTTGTGTTTTTACAGAAACATGTACATATACCATCTACTGTTTATTAAAAAACCATATATAGAGGCAAATAGCACTGCGTTTTCTGTTTTCATGGAAACTTTCTGCTTAAATCTCAAATTTTTTGAAATGTGCCTGTAATCTGATTACGTCTTTATTTTCTGTACTGTAACGGAATACAGTTACTTTTTTGTGTCCGTACTGTACAATAATGTAATCCGTTACTCCAACCCTGACAATATGTTCACCTGGCCTGCTTCTCCCTAAACCTCTTCACCTTTACCACTCTCCTCATATACTGAGAGTGACCCACAGGATGTTGGTGTGTGAAGAGTATAACATCTGATAACACACAAAAACTTTTTTAGATCATCCCGTCTCCACTGAGAGTCACTTCAGAAGCAGTCCTTGTTCCATACCTCTGACAAAATAGTTGTCCTGCCTTCATCCTTCTGCACAAACTTCCATAGGTACTGTACATTGCTCATGTGATGTTTGTGGGATGCTCCAAAGTCTTATTACCAGAAATAGTCTCCTTCAGCTCTGCAGGTAGTAGCATGCCTCACCAGTCATAGATATTTCTGTCATCGTTAAACTTGGCTTTACCGTGTCATTTCCTTATTTGAGTACTTATGTTCTAAGTTGATTATGTTCAGTCATTGATCACTCTCTCGCTCCCCCACCTGTGATTATTACACAGCTATTAAACTACTTTGGAAGGATTATTTGCAGGAACTAACCATGGACCGGTCTCTGTAAATAGAGATGAAACTAGTTTGGTCCCGGGTAAGAGGGCAAAAAAGGATATTTCTCAGATTGACAAACAGTTCATTTAACAAGCAGAAATCTGTCCAAACTGCATCAGTTATTACAAAGAGGAAATTATCATGTTTGTTCCTTGAGTTGTTCTCCTTGGAGACCTACACAAATATGTAATTTTTATGTTCAACCAGTGTTTCTGTTCTGAGCAAAGGAAAAAGGCTTCCTACAATTGTGGATGTTCATATAACATCATCCACCATTAACCAAAAAGACGTCTGGGGCTGCAGCAGGCTTCTTTATACCTGAGAGTTTCCAGTCTCCAGTGTGGATCCTGTCCAGCAGACAGTAACTTCACTCCTGAGTCTCCCGGATGATTGTAGCTCAGGTCCAACTCTCTCAGATGGGAGGGGTTGGAGCTCAGAGCTGAGGCCAGAGAAGCACAACCTTCCATTGTGATCAGACAGCCTGACAGCCTGCAAACACACAAAATAACACACATGGCAGATCATATAAAAGGTTCTGCTGTGTTGGTCCAATACAGTAGGAAAATGTCACGTCTCTGTGATCTAAATGATCTAAACTAGCTAAATGTTAACATCAGTATTCTCACAAGGGAAATGTTAGCCTTTTTGAGAACACACATACACAGGTTTCCCCAGGTCCCTAGTTCACACAACACTGAGCCTGATCTGTAAGTCGCTGAGCTCATCGACAGTCGTGCTGTGATTGGGGGCAAATCAGCGAGTGATCAGTCAATCGTTCAAATTACTCATTAACGCATTTAAAAGGCTCTCTGATGCATCACTGACACCAGACAGAAATCTAGCATGCTAAAAATCTGTTGGCTGACTTGACATCTACATCCAATGACAGTAGGCAGCTGGCAGAGCAGACCACTACTTTTTCATTACAAAACATTTTTTTCTCACTACCAAATCTCTCTGTAGCCCAGACAATCACTGCTGTCTAATGTATTCTTTCACCCTCATTCTTTGTATTTTCCTGTTTTTTTAATACATAAACTATAAAAATATAAGCAAAACTTTGACAGGTCAGTCAGGTACCACAAGTGGCAATATGCAGTGGCGTTACCATGGACACGTGATGCAACTCCAAGACTATCTGAGAATCACCCAGAGAAGATATAAAGGGCTTTAATTTTTGATTTGAAGAGAAAAATAAAAACTGGTGACATTATTCAAAAGATACAATGATGTGATGGATATCTTCAACAAAGAATATGTGAAGATATCCCGGTGTTTAAACACACAAGGGATTATAAGAACAGTCCAAGAACAGTACTACTTGCCTCACCATGCTGTAATTTTGGAGGACAAGGTGACAACCAAGTAGCGAGTTGTTTTCGATGCTTCTTTGCATGAGGACAACTGTCCATCTCTCAACGACTGTCTGCTTACTGAAACAAACCTAAACCCAGACCCCTTGAACATCCTAGAGAGATTCAGGCTGCACCCAATTGCATTCATGGCAGACATCACAAAGGCTCTCCTACAGATATCTATCAATGATAAGAACAGGGGTATCTTTAGGTTTATATGGCTCACAGGAACCCCTGATGCTGAGGACACCAAATCACGCACACCAAGTATGGCACGTGTGGTGTTTGGAGTGTCGTAAAGTCAATGACTGCAAGCAGCTACAATCAGAAACCACTTGAAAAAATACCAAACAAGTCCTCAGGCCATTAACACTAAAAGAATCTCTGTATGTTGACGACTTTATTGCCAGCTCAAGTGATGCTGAAAACGCTTATGCACTAACCATAAGTGCAAGGAATTTTCTCCACTGCTAGCATGAACCTAACCTAACAAGTTCCCCTCAACTGAAGGTGAGGTGGCTGCAAGGGAATTTTGACTTCACTCTGGAACTTGAAGCACATGGCTGCAAATTAAAGGTGCTTGGTCTGGAAGTAGACTGATGACTTTGTTTTCAACCACCAGAAATATCTAATGGACATTTACAAAGCAAGGGAGAACACCAAGAGGAGTGTGTCCTGCGGTCATCAGCTAAAATTTGAACCCATGGGATTTCTCACACCATTCACAAGAGTGAAATGTCTCTTTTAGGAAATGTGGCAAAGGGGCATCAGCTCGGACGAGATACTGCCCAACGGCCTTTCTCAAAGGTGGCAGCAATGTTATATGGAGGTGCTTGAGCTGCAACAGATAGTCAATACCTAAATAGTATAGAACTCATACAGTGCAAAATGGACAGAGTCAAGTTCTTCATGTGTTCAGCGATGCAAGTGAGAAAGCCTACGGTGAGGTATTGTATCTCCAAGGACAGACAGCTGAGGAAAAAACTGTGACCAGACTAGTCATGTCCAAATCAGGAGTAGCACCCATTTAGAAACTCACTCTGCCACGCCTTGAGTTAATGGGAGCTCTGGTTGCAGCTAGTATGGGAAACAACTTACTGAAAGCAATGAACATGCAGCCAGCCCAAAGTCGCATGTGGTCTAGGGCTGCAAAAAATAATATACGTAGTCGCCAAAAATTTATTATTAAATTAGTTGCCAAAAAATTTAATAATCAATTAGTTTATGATGTCATTGGACCATAGCAACACAGTCAGCTTAATGGAGTGAAGTGAGGTTAATAAAGTTAATCAAACAACACAATATCAGTGATGGTATAAACACCATCACAACCTAAAACCTCCAGAGTGTGGCAGCATTTCACTCCTTCCTCAGCCAAAAAGGTTGTAAACTGAGGCATTTGCAAAGATGCCTTTTCCTGGCCTGGGAGCACATCAGTTATGCTGGAGCATCTGAAGAGGAGGCACGTAACATTGGCTCTCTGGATGATGAACACTCAACTCAACATCACTCACAGTGACGTTTTCAACTGGAGAACGTGTTGCTGCCGAGTGCACAAGATTTGTGAATACTGGACAATTTTTGTGTGTATGCTTGAGGTGGCGGCTAATCTGCCCCAGACTCCCTCAAAATTCAGAGTTTCTGAGTTTGGGGAAACTTTATAAAATTTGTGTAAAGTTGTCTACTACAAAAATCATTATTATTGGTTCCCTCTTTTATATATGAGCAAATGTAATGCTTGGATATTCCTTTATTTGTTTCAATTATAGGGTCAGCTTGTCTTGGTGTGTAAGCTACTCTGTAACTTTTTAAATGATATGTCTTGTTAACAGCAGATCAGCGTAATTTAAAAGCTCATAGCTAAATAAGAGGCATTGTGTAATTTTGCAATTCATAATCAGAATAGTAGACTATTAACGTTAACATCTTCCACTGATAAACATAGCATTCGATAGCTTGTGGTTACTCTAATTTAATTGCTGTAAGCGATGTTATAGAATATTTAGAAGAGATGAACAAGGAAGATTGATTCCAAAAACAAACTTCAGCTACTGGTGGGGGAAAAAAAGACTTTTATTTATCTTCTGTTCTGTGCTTCACAGAGATGTGGCTGCGTGGATTAATACTGGACTGTGCGCTGCAGCTAGCAGGCTTCCAGGTCTACAGAGCGGGCCGCAACACAGAAATCTCTGGCAAAACAAAAGGTGGTGGTGTCTGTTTTTCTATCAACAATTGCTGGTGTAACGATGTGACAGTGATTTAGCAGCGCTATTCTCATGACCTGGAATATTTATCAACCGCAGCATAGCTAGCCGGAGTCAATGGATTCTTGCCGTAAGAAAAATGTGACTTAAAGAAGAAATGTAAATGTTCCGTACTTGTATAGTGCCTTTCTAGTCTTTTCGACCACTCAAAGCGCTTTTACACTACATCTGCATTCACCATTCAAACACATTCATTCACTGAGCCTAAGTGCTCAAACAGAAACTAAAATTCACACACTGGCGGAACAGCCACCAGAGGCAATTCGGGGTTCAGTATCCTGCCCCAGGATACTTCAACATGCAGCCTGGAGGAGCCGGGGATTGAACTGCTGACCTTCCGATTAACGGGCAACCCGCTCTATCTCCTGAGCCACAGCCGCTTGAAAGAAGAAGAAATGGTTTCAAATGGTTGACAACTGAATGGGTTATGGAATCCTGACCTGAGTGTTTTCAGTTTACAGTGTGGACTCTCCAGTCCAGCAGACAGCAGCTTCACTCCTGAATCCTGAAGGTCGTTGTTACTCAGGTCCAACTCTCTCAGACTAGATGACTGGGAGCTAAGAACCGAGGACAGGGCTTCAGAGCTTCTCTCTGAGAGGTTACAGCCACTCAGTCTGGAGAGAAAACAGTAAGAAACCCAGTATGTAGGTATTTATTTTTGTGTACAGTTGAAAGATAACAGAGTATTAATTGATGAATAAATCTCACTTACAGAGCTTTCTTGGAGGCTTTGACCACTGGCAGCAGCCTCAGAAGAGCCTCCTCTGAAGCAGAGTATTTCTTCAAGTCAAACACGTCCAGATCTTTTTCTGATGACAGTAAGATGAAGACCAGAGCTGACCACTGAGCAGGAGAGAGTTTATCTGTGGCGAGACGTCCTGAACTCAGGGACTGTTGGATCTGATCCACCAGAGAACGATCATTCAGTTCATCCAGACTGTGGAACAGACTGATGCTTTTCTCTGCAGAGGGAGTCTCTTCGATCTTCCTCTTGATGTACTCAACAGCTACCTGATTGGTTTTTGAGCCACTTTCTGTCTGTATCAGCAGGCCTCTTAAGAGGGTCTGATTGGTCTGCAGTGAAAGTCCCAGGAGGAAGCGGAGGAACAAGTCCAGGTGTCCATTTGGACTCTGTAAGGCCTTGTCCACAGCATTCTGGTAGAACTGTGTCACTGCAGATTCATCTTCTCTTGTTTCAGAATTCTGGGAGGATGATTGTTCTTCAGACAGCAGATTGACACCAGAGTTGATGAAGGTCAGATGGACATGAAGAGCAGCCAGAAACTCCTGAACGCTCAGATGGACGAAGCAGAACACCTTGTCCTGGTACAGCCCTCTCTCCTCTTTAAAGATCTGTGTGAACACTCCTGAGTACACTGAGGCTGCTCTGATATCGATGCCACACTCTGTCAGGTCTGATTCATAGAAGATCAGGTTTCCTTTCTGCAGCTGCTCAAAAGCCAGTTTTCCCAGAGACTTAATCATCTTCCTGCTCTCTGGACTCCAGTGTGGATCTGTCTCAGCTCCTCCATCATACTTGACTTTCTTCAGTTTGGACTGAACCACTAGGAAGTGGATGTACATCTCAGTCAGGGTCTTGGGCAGATCTCCTCCCTCTCTGGTCTCCAACACCTCCTCCAGAACTGTAGCAGTGATCCAGCAGAAGACTGGGATGTGGCACATGATGTGGAGGCTTCGTGATGTCTTGATGTGGGAGATGATTCTGCTGGCCTGCTCCTCGTCTCTGAATCTCTTCCTGAAGTACTCCTCCTTCTGTGGGTCAGTGAACCCTCTCATCTCTGTCACCATGTCAACACACTCAGGAGGGATCTGATTGGCTGCTGCAGGTCGTGTGGTTATCCAGAGGCGAGCAGAGGGAAGCAGTTTCCCCCTGATGAGGTTTGTCAGCAGCACATCCACTGAGGTGGACTCTGTAACATCAGTCAGGACCTCATTGTTGTGGAAGTCCAGAGGAAGTCGACACTCATCCAGGCTGTTAAAGATGAACACAACCTGGAACTCTTCAAAGCTGCAGATTCCTGCTTCTTTGGTTTCAGGAAAGAAGTGATGAACAAGTTCCACCAAGCTGTACTTTTTCTCTTTCAGCACATTCAGCTCTCTGAAAGTGAATGGAAATGTGAACTGTATGTCCTGGTTGGCTTTGTCTTCAGCCCAGTCCAGAGTGAACTTCTGTGTTAAGACTGTTTTCCCAATGCCAGCCACTCCCTTTGTCATCACTGTTCTGATTGGTTCATCTCTTCCAGGTGAGGCTTTAAAGATGTCTTCTTGTCTGATTATTGTTTCTGGTCTGTCTGGTTTCCTGAATGCTGTTTCAATCTGTCTGACCTCATGTTCATCACTGACCTCTGCAGTCCCTCCCTCTGTGATGTGGAGCTCTGTGTAGATCTGGTTCAGAAGGGTTGGGTTTCCTGCTTTAGCAATCCCCTCAAACACACACTGGAACTTCTGCTTCATGTTGGATTTAAGTTTATACTGACAGACTGCAGCAGAAGGTCCTGAATGAAGATGCAACATATAATATCAATATGTGATTCATAAAGAAAATATGACAATTTAATTCCCCTAAAGTATACATATATAAACATCTCCTCAGACATCAGTAAATGTCCCGTTTATCCAGCGTGTTAAATCTTTAGAGAAATCCTCTTACTGCTCTGCAGATGTTCAGCCAGCTCCTCCTGCTTCATTCTCCTCAGGAAGTGCTGTGTGATCTTCAGAAATGCCTCTCTGCTGCTCCTCTGCTCTTCCTCCTCACCGTCCAACACCTCCTCCCTCTGAATCTCTAAGCATTCTGGGTAAACTGAACTCAGACCCTTCTGGATCTTCTTCAGCTCGTTCTTCACAAAAGTGACAATGTTCTCCTCCAGCAGCTGGAACAAAATATTATATCAATGACACAATCAAACTAAAATCACTGAACCAAACATCAGATCCACGTTGGACAGACTGACAACTGAATGATTATCCACTGGTCTAAAAAGTGCAGCGTGGAGATTATTGTTAACAGATTAGATATAAATGTAGCTGCTGTACATGTACAGACCATAAATATAGAGTCCAGGTGTGTTTGATGCTGCTGGGCAGACTGACCACTGGGAACCTCTGAGGTCTCCTGGTCAACTCTGTGGAGGAATCATTAAGAATTCGCTCACATTAGGTCGGTCAACACAAAAAAGTAGAAGTTGTATAAGACTCAAAACCATAACACAAAGTTCAACAAAACCTCAAGCTGAATGATGTCAGTGTGTATCATCAGTTCATTTTCTATCAAATATTGGACCAAATCAGGTCAGTCAACTAAAAATGTGTGGTCCAGTGCAGAACTGTTTGCCAGTATTCTAACGTTTGCATAACTAGACTAACCACAAATATCTTGACTGCTATTTACAGACTTTGGTAGGTGAAGCATTTTAGGACAAAATCCAAAGAGGACATTTGAGACTAAAAAGACTTGAACTTGATTTGTGGAACTCAGACTCGGTAGAGCCTCATTTTATCCTCAGCTGAACTTTACAATGTGTTTTTACTCAGACTCGCACAGGAGGAACGATTACAGCCACCACAACTCTTTGAGTGGACATATTGGCATGTCAGTGTTGTTTAGGGACAGACTGGAAAACATGTGGACCTGTCCTTTAATACTAATCTGGCTCTAACCTTCATCATCATTCTAGGAGAATATGACACTATAGGGAGAACTGGTCAGAGTGGATTTAATGAGGACAAACATCAGCAGGGAGCAACATGAGGAGGGAGACATGAACATTAGCTTTGATTGGCCAACACTGTTTAATACTTACTGTCTGTCAGACACATGTCCTCCCTTAAAATCAATTAAAATTTCCTTTGACCAGTCGCTCTTGAAGGACACACAGCTGGGTCCTTGTCCAGGTCCAGGTCCAGGTCCAGCAGAGTCTGGTCCCGGCTGCTGCTCTGGGCTTCTACAGAACACACACAGAGCTTTGAGTGTGAATAATGATGGTGGAGTGATTTGAGTCATGGACAGTTAGAGATCCTCATCTCACCTCTGAGCTTTGGTCTGGCTGTCATGTTCCTCCCACTTAGGTTTTTTCAAGTGAGGGACTCCCTCCTCTCTGTCCTCACACTGATCCATCAGCTCACACACACTTTCACCTGGAGGAGAAACACAAATCATTCATCAACTTTCCACCATTTCTCCTGTAATAATATCAGCTGCTCCTCCAGTGATCAGCTGTTATTTTCTGTTTCATATCAGTGGCAGCTGAATGCAGTCACACAGCAGTGTGAAGCAGAGGAAGCTGCACTATGTCATGAAGCTGCAGCCCAGCAGACACAGGGTGCATGGAGGACACACAGATATGAAACATGATGCAAATTCTAAAATTGCACTACAGGAACTGTGAGAGGTCATCAGGAGTCATATGACAAAAGAACCACCCTCACATTGTGTCTTGGTCGCTCCCACCCAAGATGTGAGCAGAGGAGTCAGGGAGGAGACATGAGTAGAGAGGACTCGAGGTAAAAGACATTTAATGAAATGAGATGACTTCGACTCGGAGCCGTCATTTTAAAGCTATGTCAGTTATGATACACAGCTGTATCATCTGTCCACTGTGATCAGATGAGCAGACCAGCTGTCAGCACTAAAAGGCTACATAAAGGCTAAAGATCATATCTTCATCATCCAGAAACATGTACAGGGGACATAACAAGTCTACACACCCCTGTTAAAATGCCAGTTTTTGAGACAAAGATAAATCATGTCAGACCTTTTCCCCCCTTTAATGTGACCTATATTGTGAACAATTCAATGTTGAAAAAGTTCTGACATGATTTATCTTTGTCTCGTTTTTCATGTAGAAACATCTCAAGGTTGCAATAAACATTATAGCATCTTTTGTCACAGATTACAGTAGCTGACCTGTCATTCACTACACAGAAAGGAGTGAGGAGCCACGAGCGAGGATACATGAGTGCAGCCTTTGCTGAAGTCTTTTACTGACCGAAACGCCCCCTTATGAAATATCCTTTATTGACTGGACACTGCAGTTCATCGGACTGATCTGATACATCACGACATCACTGGAGTTTCACACCAGAGTAAAGACAGATCATTTAAACTCTAGTCTGGTTAAAATCTGCTGGATTTACTTTTTACATCATTTATGGTTATTCCAGTTACATGTGAGGCTGATCATTCCTGAGTGTTTGGTCCAAATAAACGACAATAAAACGTACTAAACAAGTGAGGAGTCTGACTAAACAAATCATTAAACTGCACTAAAGATTCAAGCAAAAGAAAAAAAAACCTGCACATCCAGCCGATCTCACCAACCGCATCTGATGTAAGCAGCCCGGTGAGTAAAATCAACTGATGAAATGTATGAATGGAAGCTGATGCGCTACAAAAGCTTTACATTGATTTGATGGAACGCAGTGATCGATCGATGACATTGTGAGGTGACTTGCATCTATGGAGTAGTGTTAAAGGATATCAGGGAAGGAAATAAACGGAAAGCCTAAAACTGAGCTAGAGTCAGCTTTGATATGAGTTACATCATCAAATTCCCTGAATTATTTATAATAAGACACCATGATCATATTCTGGGTTATCCAATAATTAAAGGGGCTATATGTAAGTATTTCAAAGAAATTAATCACATTTTCATTGTCTTATTGTCAATGGGCTCAAAACTCACTTAGAAATGAAGCACACGTCTGTTTTCTCCGTTGCTTGCATCAGTCACTATTCTGCTTTTACTGTGGGGACTCCGGCAGCCTTGTGAGTGCTCCCGAGCCTCTCTTGTACTACAGCGACCACACAGCAGCTAACAACATGCAGTCCACTAACACCATAAAACAACCGGCTCACAGCAAAACACAGACTCCCTGTAAGGATACAAAACAACAAGAAAGGTTTATGTGCTGAAGCCCATCAGACCAAACAGGTTCAGGTGATGTCGAGTGAAAACACAGTGAGCATTAGTAAAGCTGGAGATACACAGAGAAAGTCACGTTAGCTAACAAATGTACGAAAATGGAGCTATTTGTTTCCTAACGTTAGCCTATAGTGATGCAGCCAGCAGCAGCCAGCTAACGCTACAGTAGCTCGGAACTCCCGCTGTTTGCTTCGTAACGTTCAGTTTAGGTTTACTGTGGGTTTTACCGATACTCAGGTACACAGCTTCTCCACCTCTCTGTCGCTTTAACTAACGTGACCCACATAACATATAACACTGCAACTTGACAGCGACAACAACCCAGAGGAAGAGCCATCCACTAACACTATAGTAAAGTGACACAATCTCGTTATAATATTCAGTCCAGCTCACTAACTGTTTCATTATCATCCAATACATGTAGCTGTGCTCACATTGCTGAGCCTCCGGTGACAGATTCACAGATAGTAAAGATGGTTACTGAAAGCAGCAGGCGAGCTAACGATGTAGCACGTCAGCTAAATGCAGTAAATGTACCGTGATCATGTAACGATCATGGATTAGTTCAACCTGCAGCTGATAAAAATATTACTGTAACGTTGCAGTGGGAGTTTACCTGAGTTTCCAGTATATTGTGTGAAGCTGTCTCCCTGTCTGTCTATAGCCGCTGTCACACTACCTTTTTTCAGGGAGGATTGTGCCGATATGCGGCTCGCTGCGCTGAACATTGAAGTAACAGAGCCTGAACATGTCTGAGAGAAAAGCCACAGCCTGCATGCTGGTGTTTCTGCACTCACTGCAGGATTTCTGTATGAAAGTGGTTGTGTACCAGATTATCCTCGCTCATGAGTTCAAGCGAGCACGTGTACGAGCACACGCCTGGCAGCAATCGGCGTTAAATTGCTGGAAACTACATAATGCCCCTAAAACACATAATCAGATAAATACAGATTCAGATAATAAATAAATACTAAACAGAGCAGGAAACAGTAAGCTATATTCATTCATGAATATTTAATTCAAACAGTGACTCCAGCATGTCCACACCCCACCGAGGAGAAGAATCTCCCCTTTCAGGTATGACAGGAAACATCAGTAAACGGCTGTGTCTGACTTTAGGCGGGTGGAGACAACGCCTTGAAAAGCACAATGTAGTGAATGTTGAGGAAAGGAAATAAACACCAGCAGTTCATCAGATTGTTTGATTCTAATAAATCAATAATCCAACATTTCTCTTTAAATACAAGAGTTCTCCAAACTTTCTAATAAAATAGTGAACAACTACAAACTACAAACACTAGACAGCAAGAAACAAACCTTAAAGGGACTAAAGACAAACTAGTTGTTAAACCATCAAACACACCAACTCACAGTTTCTTCAAAGAGTCCAAAGTGTTGAAGAAGAAGACTCTCACTCGACGCCTGCAGAGAAAAGCTGCCGAGGTCGACACAGGTGAGCTGCTTCTTGAATTAGAATCAGGCCAAGTAGGAAGGGCTGCAACAGGAGCAGATTTTCACAATAAGAGGATAAGAGTTGATGCTTTCTCACAGTTTAACTGCTGTTGTCAGGTTTGTAGTTTGTGAACAAGTCCAGAGACAAAGTCAGAGCATCAGACTGGACGTCTGGAGTCTCTAAACACCAGTTAAACCAGTAAGACACATCTGGAATCATTTTCCAGGAACAGTCTCAGTGGAGTAAATATACTACGTACCTACATTTACTCAAGTACTGCACTTCAGTACAATTCTGAGGTACTTTTAATTTTCCACTTTATGTTACTTTATACTTCTACTCCACTACATGTTCAGCATGTATTCAAAGTAAAAGTAAAATGTACTTCTCTATTCTTTTTTAGATTATTGTTCTTCATGCACTGATGTAAACACAGGTTTTATTGATAGAGTCTAAGTTCTGCTTATTACAGGTTTCCTCCTACTGATTCTGTTCATGTGGTAGCTGGGCGAGCTGCAGAGAAGTGGAACTATGAACAGATAAAAGCAGCTCTTTGTCTTAATTCACTCAGGATTTTGGATATCGGTGTTTTAACCCAAATGACTTCACATCAGTGTGTCCCTACTTTTTACATTGTTGGCTAGTTTAATCATATTTTAAAACATGGTCACATGTTTGGTTTGCAAAATCTTAATCTGCAAAGTAAAGCTGCCGGATAAATGTAGGAGGAAGTGTTTACCTGAAACTCTGAAACTGGTTTATCTGGTTTAACTAGAACAGTCGATCGCTGATCTGAGCAGCTCAAATTCCCCTTTCACAGACAGAGCATGATAAGTTCAGACTAAGTAAGTATTAACACCATAAGTAAGTATTAACACCATTTAGTTTGGTAAAAGTACTCACTAGTACTCACCACACTGTAAAAATACTCTGTACCAAGTAAAAGTCCTGCATTGAAACCTGCAGAGTGTCTCTTCTCGCTGTTATATTATTATGTTATGGTATCACTGATATGTAACTATTCTTTAATGTTTAGCCGGTGGAGATGGAGCCAGTTTGTTCATACTTTAAAGTTGTTCAATGTTTAATAGTAAATTATATTTTATAAACGTATAATAACATTTTTATTTGAAGGTGCCGTAGAATGGAAAACTGTATTTACCTTGGCATAGTTAAAGAGTTCAGTACATGGAGCTGACAGTCTCCACTGTTTCCTCCTTCATATGTAAATCTCACGGATGCAAAAGACACTGGAAAAATGTCTGAATACCAACAAGCTCTAGCTGTGACATCTGGGAACTTAATTGTTTACGCCGCTAAATTTGCATAAACCAGCCCACGTTCCACAGAGAGTTCATACAAGCTCATGGAGCTGGAGGATGTTCAGTGTCTCACAGAAAGTATTTTTATGGTCCTGAAGAAAAGGAAATGTTTTCTGGTTTTCCCTCTGATGTCCTCTGGCTGCTCTGCCTTAACTCAGTGATTTATGAAGTTTCCTGATGGACAGATGGCTTTAATTGTTGCTAACGCTACAGTAACCGCTAGCTGCTGCTAACACTCCTGGGGCCTGCACCACGAAGCGAGATCAACATACCCAGGATATGTTTTCGTTATCTGGCTTCACTAACCCTAACGGACGGGATCGGGATAAGCGGTACCACGAAGCTGGTTTTCAACTCGGTAAGTCAACCCAGGGTTTCCCAATTCAGCCGGGAGCGCGTTCACATAAAAGAGGCGGTGTTAGCAACAGCTGACCAATCACAGACATGAACAAGTCCACTGTCAGCAGAGCGTCATATTTTACAGACGAGGATTAAACTGTAACACTACAGAAATACGACAGTAGCACGGCTGCATCTGACACATGCAGGGAGGCAGAAAATCGCAGACAGTGTAAATGTCTAAATGAACAGGCGTAGTCTGTAATATTGCTTTGATTTAAAGTGTTCTTATGAGCTCTATGAAAATATCAGCCTTATTCTTTCAGCTCGGCTGTGTGTCGATGTTTCCACATTAAAAGACTCGGGCACTGAATAAGTGGTCGTTGCACCTCACTTTAAAAAACTTGTCGTCACTTCATTCATGCCATAAAATGTGCTCAAATAATGTTTAAAAGACTGAAACTCAACATTTAGGCTGCTGAAAACTCACCCTCCCACATTTTGCACCCACATCACAAAAGGTGGGACGGAACATGACTACAGTCTCTATAGTAGGCCTTAGAAAGATATACTAACCTAAATAAACAGCCTACGTTCATATTAAAATTCAGTATTTCAATATTCCTACCAAACTGCTCATAATATTCAGCCTCACATAAGAAAAATAAAACAGACTGGGAGCAAATAAAAAATATTAAACACATTTAATAGGCTGATCCTGCTGTACTGTAAAACCCTGTAGGCAACATTAGCCTGAGGCTTTTAATCAGTCTCTGTAGGATTATATCGCCATAGTCAAGAGTTTCTCCACATCACCGCTGATGGTGATGTCATTTTCCAAGAGAGCTGATTGGTCAAGAGTTGATCTGTTATCTGGAACAGAACCTGCCCCGGAGCAGGTTACCATGGAGATCTACCCCAGTAAGAAGTGAACCACTCCTGGTACTGAAAACCCAGAGTTAACCCTGAAGTTACCTGGACAGGCTCAAATCCTGCTTCGTGGTTCAGGCCTCTGTTATCAGCTGGCTCTGAACCAGCGGTCCAAAGCTTCTGTACTAATGTTAGAGGTGTAAACACCAACAGGCCCCCGGAGCACCGAGCTTCCGGTCCGGGCAGAGTCAGCAATAGGACAGCTAGCTGCACGGCTAACTGCTGTTGGATAATATAACTGGTAACATACAAACTGCATAAATCACCAAAAGTGAAAGCAGAGCAGCCGGAGGAAAACCAAGCAATATTCAACTCTGATCCAGTTTCGGTTAGACCAGAGAATAAACTTGTGTTTTTGTGACCAGTGAGGGATGTTCTTGGAACCGCCCACTACATAGGCTACTACTGGAACCACAGTACCCAGTATGGAATCTGGAAAGTTTTCACAGCATTCACTTTTTCCACATTTTGTTGTTACACCCTCATTCAAAAAATTCATTATTTTCATCAAAAGTCTGCAAAACAAACCCCATAATGACAACGTGAGAGAAGTTTGTTTGAAATCTTTGCAAATTTATTAAAAATGAAAAACGAGCACAGTGGCTCCCTTCAGTGCCTCGGCCGTGAATAAAGTAAAATAAAAAGGTAAAATAAGGAGTGTGCCTCTATGAACCAGACAGAAGGTGGAAAGAGGAACTGAAGCAACAGACAAGAAGAGAAAAATAAGCATGAAAACAGTTTCTACTAGACATCCAAAGTAGGAAGCAGAAATTGGGCAGGTTATTCTACGGCACCTATAAAGTCTTAACGTTAAACATTAGTCCTGCAGTCTAATGACAAACAGACACAACAGCTGTGCGGCCCGCAGAAGCTCAATAACAACGACTACCGAGGATCATCCAACTCTGCTTCTGCTCTTATTCCACCAGAATCACTCGAAATACGAGAACATGGCGGACATTTCTAACAGAGTAGCACTGTTCCGCTTTCTGTCGTCCCGAGTTTTTAGAGAAGCTCAAAGCTGCGGAGTTTGGAGAAATGAAACTTCTGCTGTTTCTAGTGTAACCAAACTAACCACAGCTCGTGAGAACAACATTTCTAACTTGTTGCATTACCTTCAGCTGGATGTCCACTTGGAGAAAAGTATCTGCGCCACAATTTCAGAGAAAACGAAACTAAAGCCAGAACAGGAAGCGGTGCAGGAGGCTCACTGTGGCCCGCGTAAAGACGCGATAACGGCCAGATGTAATAAAAGCCAGGGAGGCTGTTGGCATCGCTTTGAGGAGCCTACATTATTTAATTATCTTCACAGTGTTCTTATTGTAATTCAAGTCTCTATTATGTATTTTTTGGGCTCTTCTTTTATGTGTAATATGATTAAGATGTAAAGGTCCAACTGCACATGAGGTGAATTGTAATAGGAAAAAAGAGAGCCGGCCGGCAGAGAGCGAATAATCCGAGACAGAAATTAAATTTCCAAGATTAATCTACAAGTAAAAATCTTGAATATTCTCTGACATTATAGTCACACATTCATGAGAGCAACTTCACTTTGCAAGGCTGCAACATCACTCACACCTCTGCACTGTATTTTGCATGCACTGGAAATTACATTAAACTTTGCTACCGGATTTAGCAGTGAGGAAATACCCACAATCACTAAATTATCATACACCTTAGAGAAGAAAACACCAGAGTGACTTTAATTTTCGATTTTTCTTCTTGTAAATTTGACACTTTCATCCACAGGCGGGAATCACGGGGGGGACAGGGGGGACATCCCCCCAGATAGGGGGGGACATGTCCCCCCTTAAAAACCATCAAATAATATAATGATATATACTTCAAACACTTGTGTAAATAGTAAAACAATACAAACGCAAACAGGGCAATTAAAGTGCTTTTTAAGTTTAGAAACATTTTGAGTCCCCCCCTCTTGCCTCACAGTGGTTTGGTCCACTGCCTGCTTTCCCCCTTACAGGAGTCCAATGGGAGAAAACCAGTTCAAATCCATCAGTATAATGTTAAGCTGTTTTATGCACTTTAAACATTGGATGAACTGATTCTTGTCTTTAATACAGATGATGCCGAGTCATTAATAAATTACTCATGACAAAAAGTTATGATAACAGATTATTTCTCCATGAGCCCACTCTGTTATTATAACATTACCTAGCTTGTTTGGTAGCTTGTTTAACAGCTTATTAGATTGTAACTCATCTTCTACAGCTAGAGATGCGCAGATTGATCAGCTGGGGACTGAAATAGGCCGTTTATTTTCACTTACTCTGCTCCGACCGGTGACCGGAGCCGAGCAGGGTCAAATATCCAGTTTTCTGAACACGCCGTGTTTCTTGTGTGCACAGACAGTAAGCTCACGTCACAGACGCACACACACGGGCTGAAACGCGTCTCAGGTGTGTGGAAGTTATTCACGAGAGAAGAAGACGCAGCGCTCCCTGCATCTGCAGAGAAACACACAGAAAGATATTTAAAGCAGGCAGCAGGTGAAGCAACAGTGAACACAGCTGCTGGTGAAGATGTCCTTCAGACCACAAGCCTCCTGCACAGGCGGCTCATCTGCTGCTGGGAAAACGCTAAACACTAAAATAAATTGGAGAATTAAGTAGAATTAAAATTTTATTTTCAGCTCCTTCCAGTGGAAATGTTATTTTATAATCAGTGTTTCATTATGACCATACAGACCAGTGAGAACATTTATACTGGTGCTGATGGGGATCCTAATAAAAATAGATTTTTACAGTATAAACAGTTACAAAAATGTTTGTGTATGCACTCAGTTATAGATCTTAGACAGAAAATCGGAATCTGCAGGTCAGACCTTTTAAAAAATCAGCAACTGCAATCAGGCAGGAAAACTGTGATCTGTGCAGATCTTACTGCAGAGATAATCCTGAGTGTGAACAGATATTAGGCTGAGACCGTAGATCCACTGATGTGTTGGGTTTTGCGCATTATGATGTTAAGTGACTGATCAGTTGCTTCCCTTTAATATCTAATATATATATATGTGTGTGTTTATAAGAGACAACATCCTCTATCCCAGAACAAACCTAAGTTACTATGTAGCCTATAGGATTATATGTCCGCGTGGTGAACCTATGAACTTAAGACATAAAACAACTATTGCTTTGTGTTGTTGGCCATAAAAATAGTAAGACTTCTCAACAAGTCAGGCTGAAATCTAAACGTATTTTATAAAGCGGTGTGTATTAATATTCTCATCATCAACACTGAGGACAGATGTGGTGTGTAGTCCGAGTCACCTCTAACCGAGCCGAGTCGAGTTCACCACCAACAAAACCTGCTCGGAGCAGTTTAGAGATGCGGCGTAAATTGCCATGGCAACAGACCCCGGGTACCGTCACCTTTCGTAGTGCGGGTTCAGGTGTTTTCGCACAGGAAGCGACAAAGTATTTCTGATGAATCCAACATTAAGAACTTTAAGCGTCTCTCTTCTTCACACGTCGTTAAATAAAAACTTTCTGACAGATTCAGAGGAACAGGAAGTGAAATGTTCATCGCATGTTTATATATTTATATAAAGTCCAGCTGAGATCTCTGAGATTGAATCAGGAGCATTTCTCTTCAGTGGTGATGAAACTATCATCACTCAGCAGTCCTCATCATCGATACTGATTATATTGGTCCTAATAAGAAGTGTGAGTCCTGTTGGCCACGTCAGTGTAACGTAGTGTTGCAGTGACTCAGTGTGACCACTGGAGGGCAGAGAGGAGAGAGTTTACACAGACTCAGCTCCTCCTCATCCTCCTTCTGGCTGCAGTAAAGGACCCTCGCCCTTTCATGTATGAATCATTAAAAACTTCATCTAGATTTTTCAAGATTCTTTTTATCACTGTAAACTGAAATCCATTTACATTTTTTTTTAATGCCGCACCTGACAGTATGTCACATGTCTTTAAGCTCAAATATTGAAAACTAACAATAAAACACATTTTAGGAACAAATAGAGGAAAAACTCTCACAGTGGTTTTTATGACTGTAGTTGCATGTGTGCGAAAACCCAGTAACATATTTTATCCTCATCTAATTTCATATTAAATCATCTTAGTTCCCAAATGTAACAGATTACATAGATATAGTTAAAACTGATTTCTTTACAGTCTGCGAGTATAATACTTATTCTTATTTCATGTGAAATAAGCACTAGGAGACAGAGGCAAGGAAAAACTTCCTTTAAGAGGCAGAAACATGGCTCAGGGTGGGCGGCCATCTGCCTCCACCGGGTTTTGCATTGATATTTATGTTCATATATTTGTTAAATGTTTTAATTCAGTTCATCACATAGTTAAAAAAAATAGACACTAGCAGATTACAGAAATCAGACTTAATGCAGTTTGCCTCCACTGTTGGTTTTTGGTGTATAAAAACAAAATTTTACTTAAAATTTTCATTTATAAAACAAACATTTTAATGATAATTTACTGTACATACCGCTATTGTTTTTACCTCGATTGACTTGCTAAAATAAAAGTTTTTCACAGATCTGTCTGAGCAAGGGTGTCACTTTGTGTTGAAAAGTGGTGGGGACACCAGGGGTCACATTAGGGGTGTGACGATAATACAATATTGGGTATATAAGAACAAGATGTGAAGATTTTTTAACACTATTTTGAAGAAATATTTATTGCTGAAATGAGTGGGGGGGTCTTGCCCCATAAAGTTTTGTGCATCAAACACTTTCTGCAGTCTGGTGAAAATGTCTTTATAAATAAAGGGAAACACGTGACAACTTAAAATATAAAAATCCACCAGAAGATAAAGCAGTAATCAGCAGCTTTGTTTCTTTTATATTTCCATTGCATTGCATGTTTTTTTTATTGTGCAAATAAAATTTAGTTTGCAACATTTCTTGTTGTAAATTACACCTGTGTGTCTGAGGCATTTAGCACATGGCAAGCACAATCAGGTTAGTTTATTTTACCCAGTTGGATGGAGAGAGCTAAGACACAAGAACAACTCCGGGAGCAGAATCAATATTTTATACATCGGCCTACAGCTCAATAATGAACATCCGCATCTCTCTGTATTTCACAGTGGAGGACGACAGAAGCCTCAAGGACTCCTGAGAGAGAAAAAGAGATGCAAGAAAACCAATATAGATTTACCAAATCATTAACATTTGACTTGATCCTTCAATATTCAAACCCCAGATTGTGAACTAGGTAACAGCACTACCTACTGAATGGTCTCTTTTCTGACCTCCGTTGATATTAAATTCCTCCACTTCACTGAAACAGCAAACGGACAACATTATCACTGCTGGGTTAGCAGAAATATTGGGAACATTAATTAACATTACTACTTAAAGTACTTACTAATATTTGTTGATGAAGTGAAAAAAAAGACACTCTACTCTTACCTGTGATGATAAACTGGACCTGCTCAACCTCCTGCAAAGCCCATCCAGGCCATATGTATAAATATAAATTGTTAAGTTTTAAACAATTAAATTTCTATGTACCATTATACTAATGAAGAACAGCCGGTCATTACACAGTGATGCTCAAACATTTGTGAACTCTTTAGAATTTCCTATATTTCTGCACAAATACGACCTAAAACAGGCTCAGATTTAGTAAATCAAGAGAACCCAATTAAAGTATGAGACATTTATTCATTGAGCAAAAGCATCTAATATTGCATTTCTGCGAGTGGCAAAAAGTTTGTGAACCTGACTCTCCATATTTATTTGAAATTCCTTTTTATGTCCTTTTTGAGATAATATTTATTGATACTTATTGGAAGAAGTATTCATGATCCTTCACTTAGGTAAAAGTAGCAAAACCACCAGGTTGCATATATGTTTAGTATTTCAAATCTTTATCTGCAAAATAAGTAATCATAGCTGTCAGATGAATGTAGTGCAGTAAAAAGTACTTTATGTTAGTACAGAAGTACAGAAGGATTGAAGTGGAAAGTAGCTTCAAATGGAAATATATAACTTGTCAACCACCTTTATTATCTTTCCACTGGAAAAGTAAATCAGTTACACTCTGTGAATTTATTTGAATTTTATTGGCAGATTATGAAAAGGAGAAATAAAATGAATTTACATTTAAACTGTGAGCTCTGTTTAAAGCTGAGCTAATAACAACGTGTTCACCTTCACCCCCTCCTATTAAATTAAAAAGTGCAGTGAAAATCTGGTCTGCTGAGTTAGGATGAGTCAGGACAGCTGGCTAACTGCAGGTCCAGAGCAAAGTC